AGCTTTGAAAGAAAGATACGATCATCAGAAAACAGTAACTCTCCCCCGGGCTCGTTATGAATGGATGCACTTACGCTTCCAAGATTTTAAAACTGTAAACGAGTTCAATTCAGCCATGTTCCGCATTTGCTCGGTATTGAAATTATGCGGGAAAAACGTAACTGATTACGATATGCTTGAAAAAACGTTGTCCACATTCCACGCTTCAAACGTACTTTTGCAGCAACAATACAGAGCAAAAGGCTTTGTGAAATATTCTGAGCTGATTTCTTGCTTGTTGCTAGCCGAACAAAATAATGAGCTGTTGATGAAAAATCATGAATCTAGACCCACGGGGTCTACTGCGGTCCCTGAAATAAATGCTGTAATATCAAAACAGGGAACCGGAAATGAAAACAGCCAAACAAATGTGCGTGGATATACCTCGGGACGTGGCCGTGGTCGTGGACGTGGCCGTGGATATGGTCCAGATAAAAATTATGGACGAGGCCGAAATTTTTTCCCAGGATACAAATCTGGCCGAGGTAATTATCATGGACATGGAAAAAACAATTTTCATAAACATTCTGAAAATAATAAAGGGGATAACGATGAAAAGGCATGCTATCGATGTGGTAGAAATAACCATTGGGCTCGAAATTGTCGAGCCCCAAGGCACGTGGTTGAAAAATACCAAGATTCCCAGAAATCAAAAGATAAGAATATAGAAACTAATTGTATGGTTGGGGAATCCTCTGAAAATGATGCAATGCGTGTGGATGATGACTATGGCATCGATGACATATTGAAACTGGATTTTGCCGATGCGGCATTTGAAGACGGAGATGGAAATGACCTAGAGAATAACTGATGATCATGTTTTTATTTTGCTTTTTGAGTTGTAATGTATTTGTGTATGAGCTACTTGTATCTGTACTTTGAATTTGATCAATAATAAATGTTGTTTTCTTTTAGATCATGGATCGGTCTCGAATTCAAGATGGAGATATATGTATTGCAGATTGTGCTACTACTCATACTATCCTCAAGGACAGAAAATATTTCGTGAACTTGAAATTAAATGAAGCAAAAGTAAACACAATATCCGGAAGTGCAAAGATAATTGAAGGTTTTGGAAAAGCCATATTTTTTATGATGGGCGGTACAAAATTTATATTAAGTGATGCACTATTCTCCCCAAAATCAACAAGAAATTTGTTGAGTTTTAAAGATATCCGAACGAACGGATACCACATTGAAACGATGAATAAAGGGGGAGTTGAATATCTTTGCATTACCTCAGATAATGCGGGAAATAAATGTGTTTTGGAGAAGTTACCCGCTTTATCCTCGGGTTTGTATTATACCCGGATTAATATAATTGAGGCATATGCTGCAACAAATTCAAAGTCGAATGAAATATTTAAACTTTGGCATGATCGACTTGGTCACCCTGGCTCGATAATGATGCGACGAATTATTGAAAATTCTAGTGGCCATCCACTAAAAAATGAGAGGATATTGCAAACACATGAGTTGACATGTGCCTCTTGTTCTCAAGGGAAATTGATAATGAGACCATCACATACTAAAGTCGGACATGAATCACCATTATTTTTAGAAAGGATTCATGGTGATATATGTGGACCTATTCATCCACCTTGTGGTCCATTCAGATATTTTATGGTGTTGATTGATGCCTCTAGTAGATGGTCTCACGTAAGTTTGTTATCCACTAGAAATATGGCATTTGCTAAATTACTTGCCCAACTTATTAAATTAAGGGCTCAATTCCCAGATTATATTATCAAGAGAGTCAGACTGGATAATGCTGGAGAGTTTACATCTCAAGCATTTAATGATTATTGTATGGCTGTGGGAATTGATGTTGAACATCCTGTGGCACATGTTCACACTCAAAATGGTCTAGCAGAATCACTTATTAAACGACTGCAGCTTATAGCTAGACCATTGATAATGAGAACAAAACTCCCCACTTCAGTATGGGGACATGCTATTCTGCATGCAGATGATCTAATTCGAATAAGACCAAGTGCATACCATACATTCTCGCCATTACAGTTGGCATATGGTCGAGTACCAAATATTGCACATATAAGAGTTTTTGGTTGTGCAGTATATGTACCAATTGCTCCGCCACAACGTACAAAAATGGGGCCTCAAAGAAGGTTGGGAATATATGTTGGATATGAATCTCCATCAATAATCAAATACCTTGAGCCAAAAACAGGTGATGTTTTTACAGCTCGTTTTGATGATTGTCATTTTAATGAAGAATTGTTTCCCCCTTTAGGTGGGAATGAAAAGTCAATTGAGAGAAATATTGAATGGAGAACATCCGCATTATCATATCTTGATCCTCCCACCAAACAAAGAGAGCAAGAAATTCAAAAGATCATACATTTGCAGAATATTGCAAATCAATTGCCAGATGCATTTACTGATTTAAAAAGGGTGACCAAATCACATGTGGTAGCCGTAAATGCCCCTGCTCGAATTGAGATTCCAAAAGAAATGGCAAATGACGATAAGCCAAATGAGTCAAAGACACGCTTGAAACGAGGAAGACCAGTCGGGTCTAAAGATAAGAATCCTCGAAAGAAAAGAGAAATTCTTGACTCCAATTTGAAAAGGAATCAAGATGATGGAAAAATTTCGGGACAAAATGAAAATATTGAGATTTCCATCAATTACGTGAACAATGGGAATCTTTGGAAGCGTGATGAGATCATGAATAATGATGATGCATTCGCATATATGGTATCAAAAGAAATTGATAATGAAGTTGAGGATCCTGAACCAAAATCTGTAGCTGAATGTCAGAAAAGACGTGACTGGGATAAATGGAAAGGCGCCATTCAAGCCGAGTTAGATTCACTAAATAAACGAAAAGTTTTTGGGCCTATTTCCATTATACCAAAAGGCATAAAACCCATTGGATACAAATGGGTTTTCACCAGAAAAAGAAATGAGAATAATGAGATCACGAGATATAAAGCTCGCCTTGTTGCACAGGGATTCTCCCAAAGGCCTGGGATCGATTATGATGAAACAAATTCCCCTGTCATGGATGCAATTACTTTCAGATACTTGATGAGTTTAGCTACCCATGAAAATCTTGAGATGCGTCTCATGGATGTTGTGACTGCTTACTTGTATGGATCATTAAACACCGACATATACATGAAAGTCCCAGAAGGAATCAGAATGCCCGAAGCACTGAACTCAAAACCTAAGGAGTTATGTGCGTTAAAGTTGCAAAGATCATTGTATGGCTTAAAACAATCCGGGCGTATGTGGTATAATTGTTTGAGTGAACAATTACTAAAAAAGGGATACTTGAATGATCAAATATGTCCGTGTGTTTTCATAAAGAAATCACATGATGGAGTTGTGATAATTGCTGTCTATGTTGATGATCTTAATATTATTGGGACAACAAATGAAATTCGAGAAGCAGTTACTTTTCTGAAAGGCGAATTTGAAATGAAAGATCTCGGAAAAACTAAATATTGCCTTGGCTTACAGATAGAGAGAGTACAAAATGGGATATTCGTCCATCAATCTAACTATACTAAAAGAGTACTGAAACGATTTAATATGGACAAAGCTAATCCCCTTAGTACTCCTATGGTTAACCGAACATTGGATGTTGAAAAGGATCCATTTCGACCTTGTGAAGAAAATGAAGAAATATTTGGTCCTGAGGTACCATATATGAGTGCATTAGGGGCTCTTATGTATCTTGCTAATTGCACCAGACCAGATATATCTTTTGCTACCAACTTGTTAGCAAGATATAACTCGTCACCTACAAGGAGACACTAGAATGGAATCAAGCATATATTCTGTTATCTCCAAGGAACAATCGATCTGGGATTATTTTACTCAAATGATAAAAAACATGAAATGATCGGTTTTGCAGATGCAGGATATTTATCAGACCCACATAAGGCGAGATCTCAGACTGGCTACGTTTTCACTATTGGTGGAACTGCATTTTCCTGGCGTTCTCAGAAACAAACACTAGTTGCTACATCTTCAAACCATGCTGAAATCATTGCACTGCATGAAGCAACTAGGGAGAGCATCTGGCTCAGAAATATGACTCAACGCATTCAACAAGCCAGTGGATTATCAAATAATAAAGATCCGACGGTCATATTCGAAGACAATGCAGCATCTGTCGCTCAGACCAAAGAAGGATACGTCAAGAGTGACATAACTAAACATATCCCACCAAAGTTCTTCTCATACACTCAAGAGCTTGAAAGGAACAAACAGATCAAGATTCAATACATCCGATCATGTGATAATGCAGCAGACTTATTTACAAAGGCGCTCCCAACTACAACATTTCGAAAGCACGTCCATAACATTGGAATGAGACATCTTCGAGATTTACACGGATGATAACTCGAGGGGGAGCATGTGCGGATGTACTCTTTTTTCCTTATCTCGGTTTTTTTCCCACAGGGTTTTTCCGAATAAGGTTTTTAATGAGGCAGCATAAACGCACATTGCATAGTGGTTATTCCAAGGGGGAGTGTTATAATATGTACAAGTGGAATAAACCACTATGCACAAAATAATTTCACTCCATTATTTGATGTTATGGGAATAGTGAAATGGGGTATGAATATTAATAATTAATGCGAATTGTGTCGGGAGAGTTTTGCCTATAAAAGGCACTCCAAGTGTAGAGAAAATTTGCACCATTGAAAGAAAGAAAGAAGAAAGAAATATTCAGTATAATTTCTATTCGGTTTCTATTTTGTGTTCTTTATCTTTCTCGTTTTTATAACAGATAACAATTTTATATTTCTTACCTTGATGGCTCAACAGGAAACAGATGATTCCCTCCAACAAACAATTGGCAGGTCATACGTAGTTATCAAGCGTCACCTAAGAAGTAGTTTAGCATTTATTTATCAACACCTACATTTTGTGACGCAAAAAGCTACTTAACTACTCGGGTAGACTCATTAATAATCACCAATTTCTGTTTATATGCCAGAAAGGAGTTCAAATGTAACACGCAGTTGACAGCTTATATCTAGAAATACTTAATTTCAGTGGCAAACAATAAATTAGAGAGAAAACGTCTTGCAATATCTAGAAAACCTAACTTTACTAGCAAACAATAAATAATACAAACAACAGAGTAGGAGACTGACACATGCCTGAGCTTAGGCGCAGCTGTGGCAGCCAAGATTGAGAAGACAGAGAGAGAGAGAGGAGGTACTTACAAAGTTACAATAACTTAAAACAAACTGACAAATATCTTTATGGAAAAACAATTTAAAAAAAATAAATAAAAATTGAGGAGAAAAGTAAAAATAGAAAATTAAGGAAAAAACGTAATTTGGAGTCGGGACATTACACAGGAATCGACAAAATACGGATAATGGATGAGTGCTAGTTCCAGACCTGCAATCAGGCACTAAGCAGCAGTGTGGGAATATTTGGGCCTCCACACAGTCCTGCCTTTGACAATCTCAGCACCACCCTCCAATCGAAGCAAATGCTGGCACTCGACAACAGCATTTTCCGAGTCAACAGCACAATTATTATCCTTATCCACTACAGAGGTGAGGGATTGAAGCACACTATCCCTCATGCATTCCCTCCTGTACTCAAGAGTCATGCCAGCAAGCTCGTGGGTCTCTAATATAGGTAGTGGAGCACTCTAGAACAAAGGAAATGTGGCACAATGAAGCATTTTTTTTAGTAAAAGGATACAAGATAAAAATTTAATTATTCGAGATGATATGATAAAAAATAGTAAAATAATGATTGTTAGTTAGAAAATGTGAATAGGTGAATAATGAATTTTGTGAGAAAATGTGTAATGTAATAATAATTGATTTTTACTTTTAACATTGAGTTGATGAGTTCGAGGAGACAAAATTGAGAATGAATGGATAGTGTATTTTATGATGATCTGTTATATTTTTAATGGAAAAGGAAAAAATGATCCCAAGGAAACGCTCCAAGTCCATGCTTTTGTCAATCTACAGAACACAAACTAAAACAGTGTGCATTGGGAGATGTCTTAAACAGTTCAGCATATCAAATCATGGGTATATGAAGTGTTAGTGCGCATTTTCACGTGTGTGGTTCTCCCCATGTGTGAGTACATACAAAACCCAGTTGAAAAGATTTTAGGATTAAATAGAAATCTTCTACATAAAGAAGACATCAACATGGAGAAACAAAGAAGTTGTTGAGGCATGACACCAATAAATCTAAGCGAAATCATTTTGACATACAAAGTGATGATCAGCAAGAGGGTCATAAACTGCATATACTACTTAGAAAAAAATAAGTACTATTAAACACTAGAAAAGGAAGGCAACAAAAACTTGAGTACAATGGAGAGCAAAGAAGATGTTCACCTCAAGAATCCAACCAACATATTTTACGTTATTCACATGTTGATTCACATCTAAATCACTCCATCTAGGCTGCACGCAAAGAACATATCCTTAGAGAAAAGTCGAAATAAACCAAATACAATTAGTTTTTGAACATGAAATAAGTAGCCTGCTTACAGTCAAGCCAGAACGGATATAATCCACAGTTTTGTCGTCAAGTTTTGGCAGCTTCCTGTTATCGTCATCTATAGTGGGAGGAGAATCCACAAAATAGCCACCAATTTCTTCTCGAACTTCATCTGGAATTTTAGATAACCTCCTCGTTTCTTTATTCATCATTACCCACAGACTGCCGATATTGCCAAAAGAAACAACCAAGATAACAGATTACTAGTTAGTAGAACTGAATGCAGAATCTATAAAACACACATCTCTACATTCCATCAGCTTCCACTTTCCGCTCAAGAGGCCCTTTGAAAATCATAGATAAAACTGAGGCTGGGACACAAAACTGATCATCAGCCTTCTTAGCTTCTTCTATCTCACACCATCTTCAATTTAATTTATCAAAGAGAATCCAATCCACAAATTGACATAAGAGGCTACAGCAAAATTTACTATAAGTGAACAAACCAAAAGTTCTACACTTCAAAATATGTGTTAAACCCTACGAACTTCTTGATACAAGTGAACCATACTAACCTTGAAGCTCTAGTTAATATGTCTCCTGTACGGCTATCACGCACTAGCCAATCTCTGCGCATACCATTCTTCCCAGATGCAGCCACCCAAGTATCTACCTGAACAACATCACCCCTGCAAGCAAGCAACAATATCAGGTATCAAACTAAAAAAAATACATAAGAGGTTCAAGGTTCCTACCAAAATGCTAGTAGGATAAGTCACCAGACAAACCCTGAACTAGAACTCACCATGTAGGATAACGATCAACAAGAACTTGCATTTTAGTAACTACCCAAATCAAATTCCGTTTGCACATCTCCGGTGTTGAACCAAAGCCATCAGCAAGTAATCCAGCATTTTTTACGTGGTTTAGAGCTGTTTCCTGCAAAAATTGTGCAACTTGTTCAAGCACATGGGGGAAAAAATTTATAATTTTGAGGAGAAATATTGAACAGATCAAAGCAATAATATAACAAATCCAGCAAGCACCTGCAAATGATTCATCAGTGTCTCTACCGAAGCAGTTCGATCAGCCCCTATCTCATATGACCTTATACTGAAATTTTGACGAAATACCAAACCATCCTGCACAATCCTCCCCAACCCAAAAGGATCAACAAGCATATCTGTCCGTTTCGGCTTCCAATCAAGCATCATCCATTGCTTTTCTGCTGCCAAAAATATTGTAGTAATGGCAGCAAGGAGCATGCTCCAGTCAGGCAACTGGTTGATAAACGTCCTTGGGGGAGGTGACATAGACACAGGCACCTCATTCTCAGTCTTAAGGCCATCCAGAGTTCCTACCTTGGTCCCATTAACCTTGGGTATAGCTTGTGCATTAGCTTTAACCCGAACTCTTCCTGAAGATGCGGATCTTGATTTAATGCTTGTTCCACGAGCATCAACACTTGCAGGGACCCCTCCTGAAATCTTTCCCAATGTTCTACCAGAGGTGTCAGAAATTGGAGCTATTGGGAGACATGCAGCAGCAGTGGTTACCATGATGTGCCTTCAACAGTCTATGGCAAGAAGAAGTTTAAGTGAAACCGAGTATTTTTAGGCAAATGCAAGAACAAGCAAATGGATCAGCGACATCAAATTACAAAAATTCCAGAGTGTCTTGTCCTCTCTACAGATCATATCACACAAGTCAGAATATAAGGCTGACAACTTTCTACATGGTGTAAAAAATATGGAACTTGTATGGGAAAAAATATAATGAACAATTATCACACACATAAATTCTGTCCTCACAGTATGTCCACACATTAGGAACTTGTATCGGAAAAAATGCTTTATGAAGAATATGTGAGTCCAGGACAAAAAGGGAAAAATAAAAAATAAAGGAAAATGAAAAGCAAAAATCAACATAATGTTCATATAATTATTAACAATTTTATTCGAAGGGTGTCCTACTGCAAGCACATCAATTCAAGAAAAAGTGATACGGGAACAAATATGCAATAAAAACTAAAATAGATTACACCAGTTATACAGGTCTTTATCCGAATAACTAGAGAGTTCTAGGTGACAACACACGACCAATAAAAGCCAAAAGTAGATCTGAGCATTCGATCGCTGAAAAGAACAACCTGATTCCACAAGCCGCTAAAATTCTTTAAAGGAAAAACATGAAACCTTCATCCTCTTACACTACATTGTTCGTTCCCAGAATCACAAGAAGTTGTAGATCGAAATGTTGCGGAGAAGGAAACACGAAACGAAATCAGAAATGTTAAATTGCAATGAAGAAATCATACAAACCTCTGCAAATGCCAACAAATATATAGGTTATTGATTACAATCGATGCCGATCAAATAAGGGGAGGAATCATCAATAGCTGATCCGCAAACCCGTCGGACCTCGCGAGACTTGTAGGGTTTGCGATCGTTTAGAGTTGTTCCCTTGTTATGTGATTCCAAATTTACAAACTTGTAATTCTTTGTTGGAAGTCGTTTTTATTAATTTTCGTTTTTTGGAGGGTTTTGGAGCAAAGAGGAAATTTCTGGAAGAGAGAGGGGACCGAGAGCGGACAGCACATTTGTTGATGGTAGTCATTTGCAACCAATAACGC